AAAACGTGGTCGTTGATAATACTAGTTTTGGAACAGTAGAAAGTTAACGATCTTGTATTCTCATCAACATGTGAATAATCAATCATCAAAGTAAGGATTTTTTCTTGGAAGCAGTCAACTTAAAAATTAAAAGACCATATAGTTGGAGCAAACTATAAAATATTGGCCTGTAGTGTAGGTTAGGTTCCTCAATGTCCTTTCTTACCTGTGCACCTTAAATAGAAAATGAGTCTGAGAGGTAGGTTGATACATAAGGAACACAGCTAGTTTGATCACAATCAGCTTACGAATTACTTGTGTGTATGATTATGAACCAAAAGACACGGATGAGCTTTCATAGATGGTTTACATTAATTATGTCCCACACCACAAAGCTCCACCTAAATTTTTTGTTTTAATGATGGTAATATTACAGGATTCGTACTCGGGCACCACCATACCCCTTCCGATGTGGCCATGGTTGGTGTTCCTGACGGGAAGCATGTGTTGCCTGGTGACGAGCGCAGTCTCCCACCTGCTGTCGTGCCACTCGATTGGGTTGTGCTACCTCTTGTGGCGGCTCGACTATGCTGGCATCTCCCTCATGATAGTTTCCTCCTTCTTTGCCCCCGTCTACTACGTCTTTTACGACCATCCCGTCTGCCTCCTCCTCTACCTCTCCTCCATAGCCATCCTCGGCGTGCTCGCCACGGCCACCCTCCTCGCCCCTGCCCTCTCCACCGCCCAATTCAGACCCCTCCGTGCAGCCCTCTTTCTCTGCATGGGCTTCTCCGGGGTGGTCCCCGCGGCCCATGCGGCCCTCCTCCACTGGGGCACACACCCACACGTCCGGGCCTCCCTCGCCTACGAGGCCCTCATGGGGGTTTTGTACGGTTTGGGGGCTGCCTTTTACGTGGCCAGGGTGCCAGAGAGGTGGAGGCCCGGGGCGTTTGACGTCGTGGGCCATAGCCACCAGATTTTTCATGTGTTTGTGGTGGCGGCCGCGCTCGTGCATTGCGCTGCCACTCTCACTATTATGGAGTGGCGTCGCGGTTTGCTTGGCGCATGAGAGGGCTATTATGAAGGTGTCACTTTCGTATGATTTAGGGGTTACAAACCGTTTGAAGCAAGAGATTGGAGCAGATTATGCGTGAATGTAAGTTCTGAAGCACAAACAGGATTTGAATGGAGATGAAGCGTGTATTCTTACAAAATTGATGTGTATGGGAAAGCTACCTGAATTTGATATTTTTAGTTCTTATTGTTAGAAATATAATAGGTTGGAAAATGCACGAGAAGCGTACGAACTGATGTATCGTTTTCAGTTCTTACAATAGAACTAAAATTTGATAAATTACAATGTAACTAAAAATAACTTACAGCTTGAAAAACGGAGAGATTTTAGCCGAGGCGAGTAAACTTTTTCCGCTAGACGAATACCTCCCGTGTAGTGCTAACGGTTCAGGCGTATCGTCCTCAAAGATACAACGGCGATCGTCTCGTAATATGTAGCACACCAGATCTACAAGCTCCGGCGAACTTGAACGGAGTCGAGAATTGAACACTTAAAATAAGAATAAAATTATCTCTCTTTTGCTATTTTGATAATAGATAATTTTTATATGCTTTTCTCTCTATTTTTGCCTCGGCAATTCCTTCTCTATCTCTCGTACTTTTCTCTCCGTTCTAATTACTCACTGTCATATTTCTTCTTCAAATGAACATGTATATATATAGAGAAAATGAGGATGCTTTACTGATCATGATGCAACTAGTACGCATCTCGTGCGATGCACGAGTAAAAGATATTCATTAATATTTACAAATTAAAAATTCTCATTAAATAATATTATAAATTAAAAACATGGAATTAATATGTAATACAACGTATCTATACTAATTTATTGAAAATATTATATAAAATTTAAATGGTGCAAAATTACATAAAAAAATGTCTATTTAAAATTAGTTATTATGAATTGGTTTTTATTTCGTTTTATTTATTAGGGATGAGATTTTTTAAACTCGTGAGACTATGCAATTGGATTTTGTAACATATAAGAGATAAACTCGTGTAGATTTATACTATGAGATTTTATAAGCTACCAATTGTTTTTTAAACTTACCGAGTTTTTTGTTCAGGTTGTGTGAAATTAAAAAATGGGCAACCAATAATATAAATAACACAGCCCTCATTACACTGAGATTGAAAATGCAGTACGCGATTTTGAAAAAAAAGTTAAAAAAAAACCTAACGCATTTAATGTTGCACGCGTGAATTCAGGAAACAAAGTAATAATTTGATAGTAATATAATTAATGCTAACAAAGTTTGACTAAAAGTTTGAATTTCCATTTTTTAAAAAAGATTATTCTTTTTATATAAATATAGATTATCAATTTACAACCAATAATGGACAATAATATTCAATAATTGATAATAACACGCAATAATTAATAACTAATTAATCAATTAATGATAATAATGAAAGTGAGAATATTTAGACAATTTACACTCAATAACTGATAATCAAAACTCAATTATCATTTATTGAGCATTATTATCAATTATTGAGTGTAAAATAATTAAGTATTCTGTAACGCCCAGATTTTTATTTACTATTTATGGAGCTCGACTATATTTCCATAAATATTAAGTTTCCTAATTTGATGCATATATTATTATTAATTGCATTAAATTGAATAATTAGTATTAAAATCTAAGCCATGGAGTATTTATTCGATTTTAATTATTAAATTCAGATTTAGTTAGCCCAAGTGTCGTTTGTATTTTAAAAACCGAGCCTTGGATTAATTGGAATTTTATTTAAGCGAATCGAAGTCGAATAATTCAATTATTCGAGCCCAATCAATTTTGAGCCAATCCAATTATTCTAGCCGGTCCATCTAAGTTAAATGGAGCCCAAGTTCAATTTTATTTAGTCCATTTTAAAATTCGAGCATATAGTCGATTTTCAATTCGAGCCCAATTATTCTAGTAAATGTGCCCGTTAATTTAATTAGTCCAAGTTCGATTTAATTTGCTTACACGGACATTTAATTCCTTAGTCCATATCTAATTTAAACTCGAGCCCAAGTGTAGGATTTTATAAGCCCAATTTTAAAGCCCAAAATCCTACACAAACCCTAGTCTTCTACTTGACTACAAATACATAACAATCCTCTTTTCCCAACACACCTTTCACTACAAAACCCTAGCCACCAAACACTATTCATCATCATCATCCTCTCTTCAAAAAAATTCAAGATCCATCTTCAAAAACATCAAGAAACTACATCATCTTCACCTCCATACATGCAACACCTCACTTTGATTTTAAAGAAATTTCAGACTTTCCAAAAACCAGTATAAAATTTTCGAACTCATTTTCGAAAACATGGGTGTTATACAACATTTAACATCAACCAAGTCGTATCTGGTTGTTCACATGGTTTTCATTAACCTTTTAAAATTCAATTCCACATGATTATTAGCTAAACCAGATAGCATGCATAATAAAAAACACATGATATTCAATAAATAACTCTCATACGAATATCAAACAAAGGGTCCAAAAATCCCAACACGGACCAGTTTGAAAATAGTTCAACACGTCTCAAAGGACCACATTTTATTCTTAATGGAAGCGAAATCATAAACATGTAAATCATGACCAACCCACTCGTCTTTCCCCCGTCATCCGACACCTGCTTAACCTGCATCCGTGAAGAGCAGGTGGGAGTGAGCATAAGATGAAAGTAGTGCTCACTACTATGCACATAAATAACACATGTCAAATGGTATGGTCGCAGTATGAATATAAGATAATCACATCATGTCTCATCTCCTATCAAAATCACAACAAC